AACACGCTGTTTCTTCCTCCATAAGGCCAGTCTGGATAAGCCAATATCCTCTCAGATTCCAGCCATTCCACTCGTGTCACAACTACACAACCTGTTGTGTGGGAAGAAGCCATTAGATGTGATTAGCACCACACACACTCATACAGGTCCAGCTCGAGTGAAGTGGCTTTGAGCTGCGGCGTCTGTGAGACGGATTGAGTCATAAAGGATGATTTGGGATCATGTCCAGAAATGCCACGGCTGTCATTCGTCTTGGAGCCGTGCATCGTACATTGGTTTTCCTCAGAGCGGCACATCAGGTTCCCAGAACAAATATTGTCTGAGATGAGTCACAGCCTGAGTAATTAGAAATGGCGTCTTCCTGAGTCACGGGTGTGCGTCTGCCACTCTATTACTGAGTCATTGGATTATGTTCATTGAACAATGGGCGAATAGCAACAGTGGTGTTGCAGTACCGCTGACAACGGTACAGCAACACACAGAAATCCATTCAGGGTTAGTTAAGAGGATGCAAGGCTTGAAGTGTTTAGCTGCAAATGAACTTCTGTTGTTCTCTCTAGGCGATGGAATGGATGATGTCGGAAGTACAGGGCACTGTGGAGTTCTCACTGGAGCTGCACAAGTTTCACAATGTGGATCTCTTCCAGAGAGGGTAAGTCTGTGTTCTTCTTCTGCATGTTTGAAGGCTGTGATGAATGGCTTGGTAAAGCATCTGTTCTCTAAACATGTTCAGGAATAGCACATGGTGATGGCGTCATGTACAAACCCTAAGAGCCAGTTTGGAGTTTAATTTGAAAATGTGCTCTCACATTCCAGAAATGCTTTCATGTTCTTTTTAAATGCTATGATTTGCTGGCAAAGCTAAGTCTCATTAGCTTTCAGAACTTAATAGCAAGTGTTCCAAAAAGCAAAACAAACTTTTAGCAGATACATGCATTTTCTTTAATGATAAAATGCACAAAAAAATTGTTAATGACTCATCTTGGACTCAAGGTTGTATCTAAAACTCCAAACAAATGCTCTCTACTATGAGAACCCAAATGACATCTGCTAAAAGCTATTTTAGAATATTCTGCTATTTACAAAAATACACTACCCTTAAAAAGTCAGTGGAATTTTTTTAATGTTTAAGAAAGTCTCTTATGCTTAACATGGCAGACTTCATCTGATTAAAAAATAATTAAAAAACATTTTTTTACTGACCACAAAATCTTAAATGGTAGTGTGTGTCGATCTAATCTCCTGTTTCAACAGAAAATACACTAACAGAACTCATGCAATTCCATAGAATTTTTTTCAAGGCTATTATTGACACCAAATGAAATAGCAATCAGTCTGAACAGCCTGATTGGCCGAGACATTCATTCACTCAACCAATGACAGGAGTTAGTTAGACAAATAGCAGACAGGGAGAGTGAAACTTATGTAACATCCTGACTGTATGTCCCAAAAGGGACACCGTAGCCCTGTGGCAAGTCCCGCGAGCTTCACGAGAATCGCGAGACTTAGTGTTGTCATTGCGGATTGCTAGGATGTGAATAAAGGAAGTGGACAGTTCTAAGAGTCTGTGTCCGATCCAGTTATTCTATAAAAATGTTTTAGCCAGTGAGCAAACATTACATGGTGTCAGAGTAGAGGCTAGCACCCACGTCCGACAGAAACATGGATAGTTTCGGCGTCCCAGCGCCCAAGATGGATTGGGAGTCAGCTAACTTACCAGAAGCGTGGCGACGTTTCAGACAGCACGCGGAGCTAATATTCTCCGGACCTCTACGAGAAAAGCGCGAACAGGACAAATGCAGCTATCTTCTCTTATGGATCGGGGAAAAAGGGCGCGACATCTTCAACACCATGGACGCTAACAGACGAGGACGCGAAGAAACTACAAACATACTACGATAAGTACACCGCGTATCTCACACCAAAGTCTAACCCGATATATGCAAGATATCGTTTCCATGAGAAAATGCAAGGGGATGGGGAAACTTTCGAACAATTTGTTACGGAATTGAAGCTGTTAGTAAAGGACTGTGGATACCCCAATAGTGACGAGATGGTGCGAGATCGCATTGTCTTCGCTACAAATTCACCGCGAGTGCGGGAGAAGTTACTCAGCCACGGCGCGGAGCTAACGCTAGATCAAGCCATCGACATTGCGCGATCACACGAGCTAGCACAAGTCCAACTTAAAGAGATGGTGGGAAATAAATACCCCAACAACGACGCGGTAACACGCCATAGCCCGAAGACCGGAGCACAGACAAACGCGCACGAGTTACAAAGCCAGGCCGAGAGAGCCCGCCGCCACAGCTCAAAAAGAATGTAATAGATGCGGCGGCCTGCATATCACCAAAGAAGGCGCCTGTCCAGCAAAAGGAAAAACAATGCATGAAGTGCAGAAAATTCAATCACTTTGCAAAAGTCTGTAAGTCAAAACTACACACAAACACGCACACAAGGAAAGTGATTCACACCATGGATGAAGACACTGAAGATGAGCAAGTAGAAACTTTTTATTGACGGACTTACAAGTGAAAACACAGGGAAATGTAACGAACAAGCATTTGCTGAAATTGAAATCGGGACTCAGAAAGTTTAAATTTAAAATTGACACTGGCGCGCAGACCAATGCAATTCCCGTGCATACATTCGAAAGACAGTTTAGAGATACTGTCATAAAAACCAACCACCCAAAAGATCTCCGGCTATGGTGGTGAGTTCCTGAAAGTGAAGGGCACCTGTCGTCTAAAGTGCAAGTACAAAAACACCTCCATTACACTCGAATTCTACATAGTAGACACCAAAGCGCCCCCATCCTGGAATGAGAGCTAGTCTAGATCTCAAATTAATCAAACTGATACTGGCTGTGGCTGAGGAAGAAGCAAAACCGTGCACAGACACAGACGGCGTCCTTAAAGAGTACGCAGACGTCTTCCAGGGCATAGGAGAGTTCCCAGGGGAGTGCAACCTCCATATCGACCCACTCGCCACACCAGTAGTATACCCACCACGAAGGGTACCGATCGCTCTACGAGACAGACTGAAAAAAGAGCTCGACAAGATGGAAGAGAACAATGTAATTTGCAAAGTGACAGAGCCCACAGAATGGGTTAACGCCCTCGTAGTCGTCGAAAAACCCCAGACTGGCAAGCTGAGAGTCTGCCTGGACCCCAGGGACCTCAACAAGGCAATAAAAAGGCCCCACTACCCCTTGCCGACTCTAGAAGATGTCACCACAAAGCTCGCCGGAGCGCAGTACTTCAGCGTCCTCGATGCACAGATCAGGCTATTGGGCCATAAAGCTGAGCACAGCGTCCTCCCTGTTAACAACATTAATACCCCTTTCGGCAGATACAGGTTCCTGAGGCTACCATTCGGGATCAACTCAGCCCAAGACGAATTCCAAAGGCGCGTCGACGAGACATATGAAGGCCTCACAGGTGTAGCTGCCATCGTCGACGACATACTCGTCTTCGGTAAGACAAAGCTTGAACACGACAACAACCTCAAGGCCATGCTGAAGCGCACAAGAGAAAGAGGGGTAAAGCTAAATCCCGACAAATGCCAAATATGCGTATCAGAGGTCAGCTACTTCGGTCACACGCTCTCACGAGAAGGCGTCAAGCCAGACCCGGCGAAGGTGAAAGCGATACAAGAAATGCAGCCACCCACAAGCAAAGGGGAGTTGGAAACCATCCTTGGGATGATTAACTATTTGGCCAGATTCGCACCACGCCTCTCTGAGATAAACGCACCACTACGCCAACTGCTAAAGCAGGACATTGAATTTTTATGGGACAAAAAACCACGACAAAGCATTCACACAGACGAAAAAACTGATAACAGATCACCCTGTGCTCGCATACTTTGACCCACGAAAAGAACTCAGACTCCAAGTAGATGCCTCAAAATGCGGCCTCGGTGCTGTCATCCTCCAGGACGGTAAACCCATTGCCTATGCCTCCAAATCACTAAACAGCACCGAAGTGAACTACGCCCAAATAGAAAAGGAGCTATATGCAGTTTTATTCGGCTGTAAGCGTTTCCACGAATACATGTATGGCCGTAGTGTGATTGTAGAATCTGACCACAAACCTCTGGAAGCAATCCTCCGAAAACCGCTGGCTGCAGCACCACCGCGACTACAGAGGATGATACTACAGCTTCAGAAATATAACATCCACATCATCCACCGCCCGGAAAGGACATCCCAGTGGCCGACACCCTGTCCCGGAAATCCATTGAGCACCAAAGACCGCAGCCTCATGGAAAGCATGGAAGCACAGGTACATACACTCATAAGTACTGTTCCAGTGAGTGACAGCAAGCTAGTGGAGATCAAAGATGCAACAG